GCTGGCAAGGCGAGACTGGGTGTGTTCGTAAGTGGCTCAGACCATTGAGCGAAAACGGACAGGGGGTGCCGGGACTAAGCACCTGGACGCAGGCGGCATTAGGCGCGCAGGCCAAAGGCGCCATCCGTCCGATCTTGGGCTCCAAGTGGCTGCTAGGGCTACTAAAAGTGCTCCCCTCAAAGACCGAAGTCCATTGATGGAAGAAATGGAACGAAGGAAGATTAGTAAAGGATGAGGAAGGAGGTACGTACCAACGGCAGGGTTCAAACAGCTGGTGTTCGTGTGGTTGGCTTGCGAGAGCCAGGTTGAAGGGACGGTTGTGGCCTGCATGAGCTTCTGTTGCTTGGACCGATTTTACCCGCCCACCTTTATCGCTCGTATGGTATCCACGATTGTGGAACAGCAAGCTGACTGACAAAGCAGGATTTCCTGAGCAATCATATAGAATCCACCAGACTAATTACTAGGCTGACTTATTATTTGGAAGGTTTGGCAGATTTGCTTAGTTGAAGTTGACCCATTTGTGAAAAAAACTCACGGCGTTCGATGGGGTAAAATCGATCCAAGTGTGGTTACATTTATGGCGGAAGCGTGGCGTTTGTAGATCAACTGGGCGAGCATTGGCTTCGCGTAAAGGCCCTCTCTACTATGCGGATTCAAATCCCGCCGAACGCCACGAGTATTTTTCACAACAGAGTCAAATTAGAATATAAGTTTAATTGCTTATCTTCTGACTATATTACTGGAATCGTAAATTAAATACGCCTTCTCTTTTGAAATGGACTTTGTTTTTCTTCAAGAGTTTTCTTTTTCATCCAGCATATACGTGTTAGGGAGATTGCACGGTAAGAAAAATCTTTTATGGCTCCCTCAACGGCACATGAAAACAGGAATCGCCCGTAGCGCAGGTGTCGTTGTACCAAATTGCAGGCATATGTGGGTTTTATTTATGTCAGAGGGTCGGGCTTAAGCTTAGGTTTAGGCTTAAAGCCCGTAGAAGCAAGTCAACTTTGGAGAACGTTAAAGATTAAGGTTTGGCTTAGCGTGGACCGTACGGATAGTGTAACGGTTACGGTTAGCTTTCCGTTGTATGTAAGGGATAGGACATGAGAGTATCCACCTGTCTCTAGGTAGATGACACAACCCTTCCCGTCACGAGCTCTTTCTACCATCTAACTGCTAAGTAATTAATTCATCTTAGTTAGAAGATTAGTTTTTGAGGACTAAAACTGTCAGCGCTTAGTGCTAATGAAGCATGCTATTGGGCCGAGGAGTATTAGTCTTTATTAAGGACAATACAAGGAATATTTCAAAAAACCCTGATTTAGGCTCAAACGTTTCATCCGACAGAAATCTAAGGACACCTCTGTTGCATTTCGTTCAACGCAAAGCAGACAAGTATGACGTAATTCGTGTCTGTATCGCCTTAGTGCTGCAGTCATTTCATATGACAGCGAAGGCTTCCATTGAATGTACACGGGAGCCTCGGTTTAAGAGTTAAATCCGTTCCAGCACTGAGCTCCTCATAGGAAAACCGCGTCTTGCGAAACGTAGCCATTCAAATTGCCTCAGTTTACTGATTGGCTGCAGGGGACCGAGCACCTATGCCCCGGAGTGAAAAACTGAACGGCGGACACAGGCCCATCTACACGCACTGACAACTCGTTAACTGAGCGGAAGCTCGTCAATCGAAATAAAACTTTCTGCTGGTTGCTCGCTCACTAC